GCTGCATCTCTAGGGTGTTCCTCATTTGCTGTTAGCTTTTGCTCAGCAGGAGTCTCAGCCGACTTTTTTCTTCTTTTTCTCCTCTTTTTGCTCTGTAGCGTTCTCTCTGGACTTTTAATGGTACTTGTCCCAGGCTGGGGGCCTAGCACTTTCCTTTCTCCTGCTTCTGGCTGCAAGCTAGGGCTTCCTGAAAGATATAAATGGTTTCAGGTACCAATATATGGTGTGCTACTGCCAGGTTAAACGCTGCTCCCACTCCATGACGAGCATCATGCCTTGTTGGATAAATCTGCCGACTGATAGCTTCCTCTATCAAAGACCACTTCTGTACATAACCATCTCGAATCTGCAGGGCTGCTGCTGCTGAGGCCAGTTGACGCAAAACTTGATCCTCTTCATATGTTCCAACATGATTGCCCATTCTGAACCCCAGCAGCAGCACCTAGCAGTTCACCAAACCACTTGAATGATGATGCCCGTCAGGAGGTGGACAGCTTAACTTTGGATGGACGAGGCAATCAGTTAATGATGTTAATCCCTTGCTTTTTTGCCCTTGGCTGCTGGTTGCATAAACCGCTGGCTCAAATACTGCAGAGCAAAAGATTTCTAAAACATTCTCAACTCCAATGATAGGCGAAATTCCGTCCACATAATCTAAGATGACATAGTTAAATGTCTAAAGTGCTCATCGTCTAAATTCGGAGTTTCAAAAATTAACACTGAAGGTGTTGTAAAACAATTTTCATTTTTCAAACTGATAGTAATAATTGTCGGCATGTTCATTAAACAAAAATTTTAAATAATATCATCTTTAACAAAAATTCTAATTATGTCTGAAAATTATTTACATTTAGTCCTTAGGCACTTATTAATTCCCTTGATAAATTAAGAAAACACAATTACTTCCCTTTAAAAACATTACATAGTAGGGAAAAGAAGTTATTTATTTATACCCTTATGGTCAAACCACCTATGGTTAAAGCCCCACTGTTGTCTATCCCCTTGTGATCAAACCCAATCTATGGTCAAAGCACCTATGGTCAAACCTCCCTATGGCCAAAGCACTTAGGATTACAAAAAAAGGGTACCTTTTGTACCAGCACACAACACACACACACACACACACAATCAGGGGACAATACGCTGGGGTATACTCAGTTCTTGCATTAATATCTCTTCAAGAATCAGTTTGTCAAACCTAGCAGATATTTTACCTTTTATTAGTAGTATTTTCATTTGAGTATTCTTCAGGTGCGTACCGATCCACCATTCAGTTTAATATGTTTGAATAATGATTTTTCTGTACTCACATTATGTTCTACTGGGTTTGTGTGAATATTCACTTTGGCCATTGTGAGAATCCTTTCCACTTGGGGGGGGGGGGGGGATCCTTTTGACCAACAACCCTGGCTACTGGTCAGCATAAAGACTAGTATTATCCTCTCAAAGGGGTCAGTCTCTTTGAACACCTCACCTACTGTCCATCCCTACTGTGTACCCTGTAATTATGGTGTGAATAGATAATAGTCAGATTCTGACCCAACATACCTCCCCATACCTAAAGCAAATTGGGCTTTGCCCTATTTGCCTAAAACTAAATACTAAACTTCTATTTTAAATTTGCCTTCGCACAGCAGATATATAAATACAATTAAACTGTGCATACAGATATTACAATAGACATAATGATGCATATATATATATATATGAAAAAAAAATAAAAAAAAACTAGCAAAACATTCCTCTCGATTGTTGGAGTACCTGGTCTCACGCAATAGCAACTTCCTGCTGAGATATTTGACGGGCCGTAGCACCCCCTCTTTAGCCTGCAGTAGCAATGCGCCTATGCCGCGTGCTGAGGCGCTCGTCCTTAGTATGAATGGTTGGTTAATGTAAGGCAGAACAAGGACAGGCTCTGAGTTTAAGTGCTCCTGTATCAGCCCAAGAGACCTGTTGCACTCCTATGTCCAAACAGCTCTCTCTGGTTTATTCCCCGCAGAAAGGTCACTCAACACTTCCCTAAGATTACTAAAGTTGGGGATAAATTTGGAGTAATAGATAGCTAACAAGGCCTACAAGTTGTTTCACTTGTTTCTTTGTCCTTGGGATGGCAATGTTAAATTTTTATTTATCTTACTTCTCTGAGGTGCAGTTACTCCATTTCCCACCATCAGACCAAGGTAGCTTATCTGTTCAAATCCTAGTTCTAGTCTTGACGGTTTAACAGTTCATCCCGCTTCGCTTTTAACCTACTAAATACTGCCTCTAAGCTTTTAACGTGTTCTCCCAGCTGTCACTATAAATGCATATGTCGTCAAAGAATGAGACTACGTTCCTTAAACCTTCTAGAACTAAATGCATCAACCTGGCGAAGCTTGCAGGGCGGTAGACAGACCCAAAGGGAGATAATTAAAATGACAAAGTCATTGTTTAGTGTAGAGAATGCTGTAATCTTCTTGCTTATATCGTTCATGGGTATTTGCCAGTAGCCTTTGGTGAGGTCTAATTTGGTAAACTATTTAGCACTATTCATCTTGGCAAATAACTTCTATTGGTCTGGGATAGGCTCAGCATCATATATGGTGACAGCGTTCAGCCTGCGGTAGTCAACACAAAAATTGTGCCGACCCATCCTTCTTTTTGACTAAAACTACTGGGGCGCTATAGTCTGAGTTTGACTTTTCTATAATCCCTAACCTTTCCATTTCTTCAATTTCTACTCCGAATGGGTTTAACGTCACTTAATTAAATGTTGTGTTCAAATAAGTTTGTTCTACCCGGTATGTTACTGAAAATATCTTTGTACTCATGGATCAAACTATGTAGATCTGCGCGTTGTGACTCTGAGAGTTTGTCGTTCATTTGAATGGTGGTCAAACTGACCCCATGGTACCAAACAGGTAATTTTTTCTAAGGCACCAGAGCAAGGTTAAGAAGCGCCACTAACCTTTTGAACTTGGCAGAAAGGGGCATTATACCACGTGTTGTAATTTTCAAATCTGTATAGTGACTCTATTTCTTCTGTCTTGATATTGTGTGCTTGGGTGATAGCTGTTTTTAATGTGTGTAAGTTGACCTCGTACGCTTTGTCCGATGTGATGTTGATTTTGAGTGTAAGAGGAAATGGGGTTTACGTTGTGAATTAGGTGTCTGATGTGTTTGTCTTTGTGGTGCGTGCTTTGTATGTTAAGGGTTATTAGTGTGATTTGGGTACTTACGTTATTTGTTGCATTGTTTGTTTCTTTTAAGTCTGGCTCGCCCTAGTTTGCTTGGGGATGCGCGGAGGAGGTGTGTTTTTTTTCTCTTTTACTGGATAGTTTTACTCTGCCTTTGTAGAGAGGGTCTTCTAGGGGTGGGACCAAGGGACTCCGGATCGATTGGGTTTCTTTGATGTGCTCTGTGTTTTCTTTTTGTTTGTATTTCTTTTTCTTTTCGGTCAGTTCTTTTTTGGATACAATTGTTGTCCATGATTGGTCGGTTTCGGTGTCTTCTCTGGGATCACTGGGGTCTGGCTCGCTGTCTGGGTTGCTGTCTGAGTCGTTGTCTGAAGTTTCGGTTCTTGTAGGCTCGATGACTAGATGATGGTTGCCATCCTCGTCCACTTGAATGTTATCTCGATTGCGTACAAATGGGCTTTTGCAAGCCGAGGGTCCGTGAAGAGTGGTATTACACAGTCTGCAGACCGTTTTCCTTCCGTCTAGTTGAAGTAGTAGTTGGTGTGTTTCCCCACCGATTTCCACATCCAGATAGTGGGGGAGATCTGCCAGAGGAGCGTTGGGGAGGAAATCGATGGCCCACTTGTCACCTTTCCCCATTCGGAGAGTTGTGACGTTCGTGTCAGCTACGGCCAGTGTTCTCACGATCTGGTTGATTGTGTTTTCGGTGATTGTAGGGGGCACCCATTTTAGATGGCCCCTTTGTCCGTTCTTTTCTGCGTGGAGTAGGAGTAGGCTTTTGCAATATTTGGAATGTTCGAGGAGCTCGTACATATGTAATGAATTGTAGAGCTCCTCGGACTTGAGGGTGATATACCACTCAGTGGGCTTTCCTAAATTGTAAACGTTGACAAACAGGCTTCTGCTAATGTTAAGCTCATACGAGATCAAATCCTCCAGGATGATTTCGTCGATTTTACGTTCTGTCTTCCCTCTTAGAATTGCTTTGAGGGTAGTCCGGGTGGCTCCTCCCCAAGTCTCTCGACCCAGGGGGAACATCCAAAGGCGCAACCCCTTTATTGATGTTGATAATATCTGCGTAAGTCATTCTTTTGGGAGATGACATGATTGGCAGTTGACTATCGGATATCGCTTTATCTTATTTTTTTTTAATTTTTTTTTTTTACATAACATTTTATTTTACAAATTAAGAAGTATGATTCACTTTTTGGTGAGCCTTAAAATGAGTGCTGTGAGTTCATCTTCATTAAAAGTGATTTGAGCAGTGACAGTATTAGATTTCTCTTTGGCTGCATCTCTAGGGTGTTCCTCATTTGCTGTTAGCTTTTGCTCAGCAGGAGTCTCAGCCGACTTTTTTCTTCTTTTTCTCCTCTTTTTGCTCTGTAGCGTTCTCTCTGGACTTTTAATGGTACTTGTCCCAGGCTGGGGGCCTAGCACTTTCCTTTCTCCTGCTTCTGGCTGCAAGCTAGGGCTTCCTGCTTCTGGCTGCAAGCTAGGGCTTCCTGTTTTTTCTTTATCCATAAGCATTTTTATCACTTCCTCCTGTTGACATATTTTTTCCATCAACTTTTTAAAGTTTAACTCCATTGATTGAGAACTCTGGTCCTGTGGAGGCACAACCTGGGGAGCTGCAGCCTGGGGATCCTCTAACTGTGGAACCTGGGATTGTGAATCCTCTAAATGCTGGGGGGCTATAGGTTGATAATCCATTTTATCGCTTGATCTTAGCCAAATGGCAGTGAAGCGATCTGTTTAAATACTTTTTTTTTTTTTTTTACAATTACAATTTATTGAGAAGTTAAAAAGATAACATTAAAATTTGCATCACTCTTGCATAAGCTCGGAGATGAAAGATGAGGTTTCTTCCTGAATAAAATATAGGAACATCACCTGGTCTCTATTAGCTTGGATGGTCTGGTCTATCAGGGCAAAAATGGCTGACATCAGATTACCTGTATTGTTCAAGCATTGAAGCATTGATAATCTTCGATGGAAAAGCAGTACAAACTGATGCATCTCAACGTCCTCTGACTCGTATCCCTTGACGGTTTCAAATACATGCCCGAGAAGAAATCTATGCTGGGACCGTGTCAGGGTGATAGCAGACAAGGGTGTGCCAGCAGGCACGTCAGTAGCAGTTGGCAAGGGTGTGCCAGCAGGCACGTCAGTAGCAGTTGGCATGGGTGTGCCAGCAGGCACGTCAGTAGCAGTTGGCATGGGTGTGCCAGCAGACACGTCAGTAGTAGTTGACACGGGTGTGCCAGCAGACACGTCAGTAGCAGTTGGCATGGGTGTGCCAGCAGGCACGGGCACGGCAGTAGCAGTTGACATGGGTGTGCCAGCAGGCACGTCAGTAGCAGTTGGCATGGGTGTGCCAGCAGACACGTCAGTAGTAGTTGACACGGGTGTGCCAGCAGACACGTCAGTAGCAGTTGGCATGGGTGTGCCAGCAGGCACGGGCACGGCAGTAGCAGTTGACATGGGTGTGCCAGCAGGCACGTCAGTAGCAGTTGACATGGGTGTGCCAGCAGGCACGTCAGTAGCAGTTGACATGGGTGTGCCAGCAGACACGTCAGTAGTAGTTGACATGGGTGTGCCAGCAGACACGTCAGTAGTAGTTGACATGGGTGTGCCAGCAGGCACGTCAGTAGCAGTTGACATGGGTGTGCCAGCAGGCACGTCAGTAGCAGTTGACATGGGTGTGCCAGCAGACACGTCAGTAGCAGTTGACATGGGTGTGCCAGCAGGCACGTCAGTAGCAGTTGACATGGGTGTGCCAGCAGGCACGTCAGTAGCAGTTGGCACGGGTTGCCAGCAGACACGTCAGTAGCAGTTGGCACGGGTGTGCCAGCAGGCACGTCAGTAGCAGTTGGCACGGGTGTGCCAGCAGGCACGTCAGTAGCAGTTGGCACGGGTGTGCCAGCAGGCACAGGCACTGCAGTAGCAGTTGGCATGGGTGTGCCAGCAGGCACGGGCACGGCAGTAGCAGTTGGCATGGGTGTGCCAGCAGGCACGGGCACGGCAGTAGCAGTTGGCACGGGTGTGCCAGCAGGCACGGGCACGGCAGTAGCAGTTGGCATGGGTGTGCCAGTAGACAAGGATGTGCCAGCAGTGCTGGGTCTATCTGGATCCACACTTGATCCATCCAGCTTTATTTTCTTTGCGTCCAGATTTTTTTCTGCAAAGTGCTGGGCTGACCCTCTGAAAAGTTCTTCCCGTCGTAATTTTGTCCCACATAACTGGAAAAAAATGTTTAGTGACTTAAGCATTTTGGTAAAAATGTTTCTATTTAACACAGAATGACAAAATTTAAAACAGGTCATTTTCAGTAGTCAACTTTATTTTTTTTTGTCTAAACAACTATGCATCGAATTTAACAGTTAAATATCAATTTGGTTATGTTTAAGATATATAATTCATCAAATACATGCCTAGATACGTTTAGAGGCATTATTTTATTTTATTTTTAATATTAAATCTACTAAAAATAGGACAGATGAGTCTAAAATTTCGAGATAGAAACTATTATTTTTTATCTTTCAAAAGCGCCATTGAAATTAGAAGACCGGAAAAGGATGTTGAAATACTGCAGAGCAAAAGATTTCTAACACATTCTGTCAACTTCATTAAATTTCTCTTGAGCTATTATCTCTCCTGTTTCTAGCTCCATACTGAGGAGTGGTTTCTGGGCCCCGAAGGGCAAGTTTAAATCCAATGAACACAGTGAGAAAACACAGAACACAAATATCACAACTTTTGACTGTTACAGTTTTTATGAAATGACAGTTCTGATTGAATCCCAAATGAACTATCAGTTTGTTCTAGCCATTGCGGTATCTAAACTTCCCGTATTATTAAATTTGCCCTGGTCTCTTTCTTATTGGCCTCCATCACGCCGGTTGTCATTTCTCCGTTTTTTGTGTGGAGGCTGATGTCCATCTTGATCGTTATCGTCACTGGTACTCGATCCACTCGAGGGTCTGGTACAACTTGAGTTGGACTAAAAAAAATGAGAAGCTTCTATGTGCACCTAAGGTTATGTTGATGCCCTGGGGCGGCAGTGTGACTGAAGAAGATGCCGAACCGTTTCTTTCAGCTCCAAACGTGAGTGATGATGGCACAGGTCTAGCTACTGTTGTAGTGGCTGTTGTCGTGCTTGAGTTGGCCATGGTTGTCACTGTTGGGGCTGGTGGATTCATCATGCTTGCTGTAGTAGTAGTTGTTGATGTTTTTTTTAATGCTTTTTTTTAATATGTTTAATAGATTTCCTTTCACACAGTTCACTCCATTTCAGCCAGGAGCTTGCTGTGTGGATAGGTTGCATGTTAAAATATACATGTAATACATAGTATTGCATACAATTTTTCATCATATTCTAATTAAGCTTCGTAACAATCTTTTATATTTTTCTGTGGTGGCTTGTTCTTTCTTCCCGGAACTGTTGTCCATTCTTCTTCTGTGGTTGGGGCTACGACTGTGGCTGGTTCTTGGGCTGGCTCAATTTCTGTGGCGTCGTCTGACAAGTATTCACTGTCGTCTATAAGTTGATCATTATTGAAGTAGTTACCATCGTTGTCTACTGATATATTGTCCCTTTCCCTTACATACGAACTTTGGCAGGCGGCCAATCCGTGTTTGGTCGTGCCACACAGGGGGCATATAGATCTTCTACCGTTAAGTTGTGTAAGTTTCCCCACCGATCTCAAGATCAATGTAATGGGGTAAATCCTTCAAAGGAGCGTTTGGGCACAAATCGACTGCCCACTTATCACTCTTCCCAATTTTAAGAGTTCAAACTATTGTCTGGTTCTGATATTTCAATCATAATTTTATTGATCATGTTCTGGCTAATGGTACCCATTTTAGGTGACCCCTCTGATCATTCTTGTCCACATGCAGCAGCAAAATGCTGCTACAATAATCCGAATGTTCACATATCACTGCCAAATATAGAGAGTTGTAAATTTCATCTGATTTGAGAGAGATAAACCATTTGCTTGGTTTCCCCAAGTTGTAGACATTAAGAATTTGAGAACGATTTACGTTCAGTTCACAAGTAAATAGGTCCTCTAATATGAATTCTGCATTTCGACGTTCTTTTTTTCCTTAATCTTTGTGGTGCGTGCTTTGTTTGTTAAGGGTTATTATTGTGATTTTGGTACTTACGTTATTTGTTACATTGTTTCTTTTAGTTCTGGCTCGCCTTAGTTTGCTTGGGAATGCGCAGAGGGGGGGGGGGGGGGAGGTGTTTTTTTTCCTTTTGCTAATAACTTTACACTTCCTTTGTAGAGAGGGTCTTCTAGGTGTGGGACCGAGGGACTTCGGATTGGTTGAGTTTCTTTGATGTGCTCTGTACTTTCGTTTTGCTTGTATTTCTTTTTCTTTTCGGTTAGTTCTTTTTTTGATACTATTGTTGTCCAAGGTGAGTTGGTTTCGATGTCTTATCTGGGATCTCTGGGGTCTGGCTTGATGTCTTGGTTGCTGCTTGCGGTGTCATCTGATGTATCGGGTCTTGTTGGTTCGATTCTTGGGTAGTGGTTGCCATCATCGTTGACTTGAATACCAACGCGCTCCCGCACAAACTGGCTTTTACAAGCCGAGGGTCCATGCAGGGTGGTGTTGCACAATCTACAAACTGTCTTTCGGCCAATCAGCTGTAGTAATAGTTGGTGTGTTTCGCCGCCGATGTCAACTTCTAAGTAGTGGGGGAGATCTTCTAAATGGGCGTTTGGGTAGAAGTCAATGGCCTACTTGTCTCCTTTCCCCATTCTGAGGGTTGTGACGTTCGTGTCTACTACTGCCAGTGTTCTCACGATCTGGTTGATTGTATTTTCTGTAATTATAGGAGGCACCCATTTTAGATAGCCCCTTTGACAGTTTTTTTCTGTGTGGAGTAGGAGCAGGCTCTTACAATAATCTGAATGTTCGAGGAGCTCGTACATATGTAATGAATTGTAGAGCTCCTCGGACTTGAGGGTGATATACCACTCAGTGGGCTTTCCTAAATTGTATACATCGGTAAACAGGCTTCTGCTAATGTTGAGCTCTTACGATATCAGGTCCTCAAGGATGATTTCATCGATTTTCCGCTCTGTTTTCCCTCTCAGAATAGCTGTAAGAGTATTTTTAGGGTGCCGACCTGGAGCGACCCCAGGGATTGATATTTTTTTAACAAGTTTTTCTCTAGTCAAGTCAGGATTACTCACGTGTTGAGTAGGGGATGTATGCACATCCGATTGTTTCTGATTGGTTTTCTTGTCAGCCATCTGCCATGCCGACTGGATGAGTTTTTCAGCTTCTGTAGTATCCGTAGCGGAATGAATCATAAAGGGTCTAACAGTTGAAATACTTTTTTTTTTTTAAATAATTTTATTTTCTATAAAACAAAATACAACATATTTATAGTGACATTGTTTACATAAATTTTGAATGAATAAGTACATATGTTAATTATGTACAGGGCGAAGGTGGAAATACAACATTTTTACAGTTCGCTGATTTGCGTTTCTTTAGTTATATACAACAAGCGAAAAAAAAAAAAGATATACAATTTATTTATAGTGACTTCTTTAACTTTTCTTTTAGTAAATAAATAAATGATTCATATGTGTGGGGGGAAAAAAAAGTACATATATAACACTCTGGTGTATGTAGTTAGGTGGACTTGTGGTCGTTATACTTATTTGCACCCAGATTTGAACTTGAGACTTACGGGTTAGCAGTCCAGTTCTCTACCACTGGACCACTCTTTCTCCATACTACGAAGGTGAGAAAGGAATAATTGTCGTAGGGACAGTTGTCTAGCGGGGTAAAGATTTGAAGAGGGGTGGGTGTGTTAAGCTTGATTTTCCATATGGGATGGGTGGATGGAAGGGGGGGGGGGGGGGAGGTCATGAACTATTGCCTGTGTAAGTAAACAAAACTATGTTGTATGTGTGGATGAGGTGTCTAATGTACTTTTCCTTGTTGTGTGTGCCATGTATGTTTAGTGTAAGTAATGTTATTGCTTCCAAGGGTTGAGTTTGGCCTCGGATGTCTCACCTGTTTTGGTTTGTTTGTGGTTGTCAGGGCTGTTGGCTTCTTCATTACTCCGTTTTGTTGAGGATCTTTCTTGGTAGGTGAATCTTTTGTGTCCGTGGTCGCTTTGGTTTTGTTTTCTTTCGCTGTGGAAGCGTATTTCCTGAGTCGTCGCTGGCCTGGTTGTTTCTCTTCTTTGACGTTTATTTTCTTTCTTTTTCTTTTTCTTGCTGATTGCTTGCTCCCACGGTTCGTCTGCTGCTTGGCTGTCTTCCTTGGGTGTTTTCTCTTCTTCTTCATCTGAGGTCTCTGTGTTGTCCTCGTCCTCGTCTTCTTCACTAGTGTAACTTTCTTCTGTTCTGTATTCTTCAATTTCAACGTACCGTCCCTTACCGTCGATCTCAATATTATCACGTTCTTTTACGAATTGACTTCTGCAAGCCGCGGGCCCGTGTTTTGTTGTGCCGCAGAGAGGGCAAATTGTTCTTCGTCCGTTTAGTTGTAGAAGTAAAGTGTGGCTTTCGCCACCCATTTCTACCTCTAAAAAGTGGGGGAGGGCTTCGGCTTTTGTAATTGGTTGGAAATCGACCATCCAGCAGTCACTTTTTCCTACCCTGGTGGCAGTTATCGGCTCGTCTGCTGCACTCACTGTCTTGAGAATATCAGTGACTATTTTTGCCGTATAGGTGGGTGGCACCCATTTTAATGGGCCTCTTAGTCCTTTTTTTTCTACGTGTAAGAGTAGGATGCTG